CCAGACTTGTGCCTTACGAGACCGGCGGTAATAGGGGGGTGGGAAATAGGCAAAGGGCTAATCGGCAGTACGGAAAGCTAACGAGCTAACCGTTACGCTAAACCTTACCCTTATCCTAACCCTAAACCTAACCCTAAGGCACAAGCCTGGGGTTAAACGTACATCGGGTCGACTACTAAAAGTACTGTCGCCTGCGCCAAGGCCACCTGTACTACAGGGCGCTTCTTATTCTCCTGTATTACGGCTTTGCCAGGCACTGCGTCCACAATTGCCTTGGTTGGCAACTTACAGTGGGTGTGAAATTAGGTGCAGTGTGAGTGAGCTTCGTTGTAAACAAGTTTGTGGCTATGCCCAGATTGTGGACGGTAGCGTCGCGCGTAACGACAGATTATCCATCGTGTATGTATGCGGTAAGGATGGGCGGATGATCTGTGTGTGTAAGGTAACTTACCAATAGCAACCTCGTCTGCAATATCCTTCACATCGTTGCGGCGTCGACTGGACAAGTTGTCTGCCCGCTCGCGATAAAGCATTATCGACTTTCGATCGAGATATTCAATCTTGGACATCTAAGAGACAGTCGAAGAAAATTAAACGGACTGTGATCATAAGAAAGTAGGCCTAAATGTTTTTACAGTCTCTCGAATTGCATGTATGCGGCATTACTTAGGAAGCTAACGGACCAGGAGCGCATGTGGTGGATTGTAAAAATAAAGTCAATTCGTGCAGAAGATTAACTGTAAGTCAGCTTTGTCGGTTTGCATTTGAAGATTATTATCACGGTTTTCTGCTCTACATAGTGACGGCCAGTGCGAGATAAGGACGGGGGTCAGGGATGACTCAGTCTGACCTGTGTCTAGCAGAGATGAGAACACGCTGACGTTTTCCAGTTCAGTAAGTAGAACATGACTGCTCCAGTTATTCCGCAGTCCGAACGTCATCTGCGCGCATAAAGAACACGTGCAACAGGTGGTCTAACTGCTGGAAATTCGACTAAATTGTTAAGTCTGATCTCAGCTAAAAGTGACTACTAAGGCGGCGTTTCAATACTTATACACACTTAATATAAGTATATTTCAGACAAGTGAAGATGTTAGCATTTTAATTCGCAGTTTACAGATAAGGGTAGGGGTCAAGAATAAGTCAGATGGAGAAGGCGTTTCGATCACCGGAATTATAATATTACTCATCTGAGCTATCGGGCTGTTACTAGAGTCCATCGTCAGAGATAAAGGCGTCAGCGAAAAATAAGCAACAGTTATAAGGGGCAGGGGCCAATCAACCGTTAAGGGGGGGGAGGGGTCAATTCACCGCTGGTGCTGTCAGTCCGGAGATGTTTGCATAGGGCAATGTATGCTGTCACCAAATCGATATATCGATTGACTGAGTTCTCATCCAAGGCCCAGACTTTACTCAATTCTCGGCCTGTCCTTTTGTCGGCGCGGGCGATTATCCTCGTAGCTGCGACGTTAAACGCGTGAATGGTCTCGTAGGTGTGGAAAGGCACTTGCGACAATGCGTAACCCCGTCGTACAGCCAGCTTATGTTCGTTTATGCGCGAACCAAGCATGCGTTCGATCTTTTCTGTGTAATTTAGGGGACAGTTTAGACATGGTATGCGACATACTGCGCCCGACTGCTCACTGGGATTTAATCGGTCCTTGATCCTCATGACCCGGCTGCGCATGGTAGCCTTGGGACGGTGTACAATTACGGGCAGGAGTTTCCTTGGTAGTGGTCTTGGATACAACAAGCCGTAGGTTGTT